ACGAAAGGTTTAAGGTTCGCAAAGCCGAATCTGTGAAGCATGAGGATACTGACCCACGGAGCAGCTGCCGTTAGCCTGCAGCTAACACTAGCTGCCCAGCTCAATAACGTACTTTAACTTGATCGCGAAACAACAGTACTTACATTAGCTGTGACCTTAACAACGGAGCTTCAATAAAATGCAAGCCAGTTTAATGCAAGCGAGACCCAGAGCTGTGTCACACAGACATTTTATACGCCCATTTGAGATGTACACAACGTCAGCAGCTGCTGTGCCACTTTTCTGTTTATCTTCTCCATGTCGACGTGTTTGTGTAGCGGCGTGTTCACCGCGGCGTTTTCGTTAAAATACAAAACTGCTACATTTAGAGTAAAAAAAACAAGTTTTTGACAAAATAATCAGGAAGTATTTTTACGCGATTTGAAAAAAAATTATAACCACACTGAACTTATATCTAAAACATAAACGCCAGTCTGTGTGGCGAATCTGCGAATTCAGAGCCGCAGGTTAACGTTAGCTATTTCAATGACTTGTTTTTTGGGCCCATAAATGCTTTATTTTTTATCTGAAGGTAAGAGTATTGTCCTTAATCGTGCAAAAATTATTTATCAGTGCTTTCAATTCGATTTGCAACTGTCCCACTACTACATGACAGCAAAGTTGTCATCTCAAGTGAGCAAAGAAAAAAAAATAAAATAATAAACGCAAGCTAGGGTAGCACGTTAGCACGCTGGCTTGACTTGGCTCACATGTACTGGAGCTATCCCTAAAGCTAATGATGGCTTGCTGATAATAACGTTTAAAACATCAGGACATTCCCCCCTAGTATTAAACTCTCGGTATTTAATGGGTTCTTGTATACAAAGAACGTGAACGTGGTTTTCCTTATTAGCGAAAATATAATATCAGCAAAATAGCACATTAATAATTGTAGCAATGTTTAGTGGAATAATATATGCTGTAGATTAATGTGTCGGAAATCTGTATGTAAAATTCCTCCCAGGTTTGAGGAAATAAGGCTATACCAAGTATTTAAATTGAGTTGCACTTATTAGCAATTAAAAGGAAACGTTTTCTTATCCTCAGCATGGCCATCCCTATAGCCATCTTGGACTGTGATCTACTCCTGCATGGTCGAGGCCACAAGACCCTTGACCGCTTTGACCTGGACTCAGTCTCAGACAGTTTCCTCATCACGCAATTTGGCTTCCCCAGAGACTTTATCTTGTATCTGGTGGAATTACTCAGAGAGGTTTGTGGGTCTTCATGTCATGTTAAGAGATCAGTTTAACTTTGTCTTTATGAAATATGCAAACACTACTCTGTTGTGTTCCAGGGTCTATGCAGGCGAACCCAGCGCTCCAGAGCCATCAGTCCTGAGGTCCAGGTGCTGGCCGCACTGGGTTTCTACACATCAGGTTCATTCCAGACATCTATGGGGGATACGATCGGTATAAGCCAGGCGTCAATGTCGAGATGTGTGTCCAATGTGACGAGAGCCCTGGTGGAGAAAGCACCTCAGTTCATCACGTTCAACAGGTACGATGATGTTATGCCACTTGATGTCAGGCAGGAATGACAAAATAATTTGAAACTGTAACTTTGTGTTCCCAGAAACTTGTTTTTACTTCAAAAGAAGTAAAAGAAAATCTCACTTGAATAATAATAATGATGTTTTCCAAACAGAGATTTATCCACCGTAGAGCAGTCCTTCCGGGAGTTTCAGAGGGTCGCAGGATTTCCTGGAGTCCTGGGGGTGCTGGACTGTGTTCAGGTTCATTATATGACATTGTGTAATTAGTGTGTGTGTTTATGTGCATGCACGCTCATGCACTCATTTGTTTTTACAGGGGTAACCTAATCATCTCTCTTACTTTAATTAAATTTCCAGGTGGCCATCAAAGCACCAAACAGCGAAGACTCCTCATATGTGAATAAGAAGGGCTTTCACTCTGTGGCCTGTCAGCTGGTTTGTGATCCCCGGGGACTGTTACTTAGCGCAGAAACGCACTGGGCAGGTGGACTCCAAGACACTGTTGTTCTAGAAAGATCTGCTCTTTACAAACAGCTGCAGGACACAGAGCAGGGCTGGCTGCTGGGTGAGCTCTGGACTTTTTATTCCTTATTAGAAGTTAGCTTGTGGCGTTGGAGTCAGAGGTTATAAGTTTTCCGATTTTCAGGTGACAGCCGTTACCCTTTGAGGAAATGGCTGATGACGCCAGTTGACTGCCCAGAATCCCCTGCAGAGTTTCGATACAATCTGGCCCACGCGGCTACACGTGAGATCGTGGATCGAACCTTCAGAGCCATCCAAACCAGATTCAGATGTTTAGATGGCACCAAAGGATACTTACAGGTATGGCAAATGTGTCACAGCCAATAATCAGGCCCAAACATATTAGTAGAAATAAACCATGAGACATTTTTAACCTCCAAACAGTGTATTTATTTGTTCACGCTCTGCCCAGCAGAGTGCCCTCTGGTGGACAAACTAAAAAGCTGAAGGATGTTTCTCCAGTGTCCTCTTTATTTTTTTTATTTATCAGATGTCATAAAAGCCAATACTGATAGATCGGCAAATAGGTGATATCTGCCGATAACATCTGACAATCTGCTGAGTTCACGGTATTAGAATGATACACTATCAGTACCAGAGTCAAACAGGCCACGGTCATAACCGAAAATGAGACCTTTACCTTATTTGTGAGTGAAATATAGCAATGCATCTGGCGTAGTATTGCCAGTAATGAGTTGGTTTTTGCATCTGTAACCGCTACCCCTCCTCTCCTGTTTACAGTACTCTCCAGAGAGGAGTTCATCCATCCTGCTGGCCTGCTGCGTTCTCCACAACGCCTCCTTGCAGTCTGGATTAGACGCCTGGACTCTGGAAAGAACAGAGCCTCTCGAGCAGCCAAAGAGCCTCAACCAGAGACCCGAGGACCGTGACAGCCAGGCAGAGGATCTTCGAAGGCAGCTCATATTCAAACACTTCAGCTGAAGCTGTGGGGGTTAAAGGGGACGAAGACTGGGACCAGTGCAAAGCTCAATATCACAAGAAACACATTTAAAGCAAGAACGTTCACCGACACGCTGTTGCTGATGCAGTTTTTTAATATTTTGCTGGATTCTACTCTACTGACTATACTAAGATAACATAGATATATTTATGTATGGAGAAACATGCAAGACGCTATACAACAAACCAAGGCGACATATCCATACACATTTCAAATAAGTGAACTCCCTGGAAATGCTTGATTATTCCCTCAGGACATTCAAATAGATTCCAAATCTTCATGGAGTGGTTGGAATAATCAAGCACCTCCTGGTGTTTGACAACTATTCAAACTGTGCAGCTGCTTCGTCATCCAGGTTTCTTTACAAGTTGAAAAAAAAATCACCCACCCCATTATTTATTTTTTTAAATCCCACCCCTCTAATTTTCTTTTCCCCATTAGATTCCACAGGTTAAGATCTTGGACTATGTCACAATACAAAAACAAGACCCTTATTTACAACAACTGCACATTAAGTTGTCTTTTTTTTATGTACATCGGTGCATTAAGACTCACGGGTGAAAATGACAGGCTGCAGTCACATGATTTTCTTCTTTTTTTCTTTTTTTTTTGGAGCATGTGCGGCATGACGGAACAGTCACAACGTGAAACAGATACAGACGACGTGAGTAAGAAAAGGAGAAAATCTGTGGTAGCGAAATTTCTGGGGCTTAAAATTGATTTTGAAGTGGCAGAACGTTCTTAAAGGATTTAAATAATGGATAAGGCTTTTATTTTGAAGGAATACCGGTCATTAAGGGTGTTTTTTTCCCCCACTGTTTCTTGAACCTTGTCGAAAAGTGTTTGTTTTTTTTGGTCAGTTTTCAATCAAGTTATGTAATTAACAAAACTAGTGGTGTTTTACTGCCTGGAATGTATTAGTCATTTAAATGGCTTCATCAATATATACAAACTTTCTACAAACAGGAATAAATACAACATACACTGCTGTCGCATGACCACATTTTTATATCAGGATTGCTATACTTTTTGTGTAGTTTATTCAAAGTTTACTTTTTACATTTAATTACCAAAAAAATATATATAGAAATTAAACTTTTTTCCCAAATATTTTGTTTTCTTATATTCTGGAGATTATTTTTGGTCAAATTACTGCGAGGAACCCTCAGAGATTTTCATGCGACAGCAGTGGAACATAAACACTGTATTACAGTTAAAAGACAGAAACAGATCATGTCAAAGCTTTACACCTGATGAATCAGCATGTAAAACGTTACATCATCCTAAATGCCAAAACACAACGTAGCACTATTTCCTTGTTTCCTTTTTTTTGTGCATAAAATAAATATGCTCTTTTTTTGATGCTCAGAATATATTATAAGTTGTATTTTTATGCTTTTTTAAAACGTTATTTTTAAAAAAAATGGAGACAATAAGATAAAGTAACTTTTTTTTGATGCATAAATTAAATATGCTCTTTTTTTAATGCTGCAAATATATTACATATACATTTTATAATTTCATAAAAATACTTTTGTCATGTTTCCCCAACCTCTTTATGATCCCTCGGTATGAAAATATGATCTCTCTCCCAAAAGAAACAGAGCAGAATTTTGGTCAGAGCTGGAAAAAATTATTCAATTATTCAAATGTCAGATGCAGATGTAAAAAAGCTGAAGCGTAATGGAAAGAATTTTTTTTCTTAAAGCCAGATAAAAGATCCACACCCTGTGTTGATTGCGCTAAGCGAAACTTTTTTTGGATCTGTAAGAGAGATCTTTGTCAAACAAGTTGCGACTGTTGTGATCTCAAATGTGTAAAGGAATGTGAAATAAAAAGGTTTCACCCAGATTTAAAAAAAGATGATTCATCCATTTTCTGCAACAGAATAAACAAATCGTTTAGTTCGAGGAACATTTTCAGGCCTGTGTTTCCATGTGGGACTTTAGGTGTAAGGCCAAGTTGGTCATATTCAACTGAGCGAAGTGGAAGGCACTTTCAGAATGGCACGGCTTCCAAAAGCATATGTTGATGCCTAGTTGGTGTTGGTGCTTACACATGCTGTTATCTATTTCACACTTGGCTTAAAAGTGTTTCCTGTTACAAATGTTCCTATTAGGTCAACTGCTCTGCTCCACTCTGTGTGTGCAGGAGGGGCTTTCACGTATACGGGGAAACAGAGAGCAGAGGAGAGATGACCTAAAAACACAACAGAGGCTCATACTGCGGAAAAAATACACATTGATGACATATTAAGCAGATGCAGCCCTTCGTGCTTTGTTCACCAACCTAATGTGGCACATCAGGAGCATCTTGGAATAAAAGTACAAGAACTACATGATAAAAACTAGAATCCCACAGTGGACGTCAACTTTTCACTGTTTTTAAATGCACACTGCCTTTTTTTTTACATTTCTTTCAGCCACATTCCCATAATTCTTTCTGTTTGCTCTTGCAAAAAGACCGCGTTGCTTTGCTCTGAACAGGAACGCTACACTTCATTTGTTTTGGGGAGGAATTAAATATATTTCTGGAAACGGGAAACAACTGTTTTAGATGGTCATCTTTAGGGCTGTCTGACAAAGTAACACAAAAGGTCTTTACGCGTGATCACAGCATAAGTGGCTCATATATGCCTTTCATTTTGGCAGCTGTGGCTATTTTGTGCTCATGGCCTGTTTAAGCCAATCAAATCTATAAGCTCTGACTGCAGGTTCTTTAAAGTTTAGTAAGGCGACTGTGTTTTTAATGTTTTGTGAGTTATAAACTATTTTTTAATGACTAAATATAAAAAAAGATTAGTTGAGTATTTAAAATGATGCAAGATTCTTTTTTGTGCATAACAATGGAGATTCCAGCACGAAGGTCTGTTTAAAATCGAGAACGTTCAAGTACAACAGAGTCTGTCAAAGCAGAGAAGTGACGCTGTAGATAAAGGCATGGTAACAGAGGTGCAGGATGGGAGCCGTAATCTAAGCTCACTAGAGGAGATGATGATAATGGATTTTCTAACAAACTAACAGAAAACGTTTTTTGGTCCAGCTGGATGTTGATTTCAGCAACCTGGAGCATTGGGGTCCTTTGGAGGGATTCAGGGCTGAGAAGTTAGATGAGGAGAGGCTGAGCTGTGTCAGAAAAACTCAGAGTCTCCATCTGGTTTTGTTTCTCTGAGGAGAGGAGAAAAGCAGAGACGGCTGGTTAATGTTTGACAAGTGGCGTGTAAATATTGCAGCATACAGTGGAGTTTGTTTGTACCTCCGCTCTATCTTGGACCCGCTTGTCTGGTTGCTGTGGCCGTCAGCTGTGTATCGGCTGATCTGGTTGTGGGAGTGGCCTTCTGACTGTAGCCTCTCTCCTTCTGATGTCGCTAAACTCTCCTCCAGTGGAGCCTCTTCGTTGTAGAAGAGCAGGCTGCGGGAGCGGACTACGACACAGAAACATGCACCGTTCACTGGACATGCCTCGTGATCCATCGTTGCTTTTAATTATGTGAAACCAAAAGCTTTTTGTACATATTTCAAAATATCTCCCATTTCGAACAACATCCCACTTACATTTTTTAGTTCTTTCTCATAGTAAGGGTCAGGGCCTGACTATAAGACCCTGACCCATCAGAAATGATCATATATAAACTTTCCAACAACTGTGAAACAAAGGAAATTCTATGCTGAGTTTAAAGTCAACTGGATGAGCTTTTCTCATATTTTTTGCTAAAAGCGGATTCCTATTGGTTGACTGCTCGGTTCTGTGTTTGGTGGGAGGGGCTTACACACGTGTGGTGAAACAGGGAGCAGAGGAGAAAATCTAATATGACCACAACTCTTAACACTGAATTGAAAACAGTCCAGATACAGAATTCTTGTGACTCCAGTTTTGTTTTTAATTATTAACTTATGTGTTTTCCACTTTTAATTATTTGTATGGGGAACATATAACTGTGCCTTTCTCTCCCTGGACAGTTGCAGAGGAGTCTGGTCAATTTTAGGGGGTTAGAGCTTATTAAACCTCAGCACTCAGAGGATGGTTGCTGGCAGAAGGAAGTTGCACTTAATTTGATGACAGCCTAACTTCTGGTTTCAGTAGAGCTTTCCCAGGAGTGAGTTGTTAAAGGAAGTGAATTTATAGGGAAGTGCAAAACAGCTCGGAAGGAAAATCAAAACCTGTATCCACTTTCCAAATGGGCTTTCATTTTGAAGAAAATTGTAACAGTACATATGAGAAGATGGAGAAAATTATATTTCTAAAATGTGATGCCGCTCTTTGCTCTGTCTAATAACTGGAAATGCTACAAGTTTACTGTTACTATCCAGAGGAGAACATTGAATGCATTAGAATGGAGCTACAGAAGGAAACTTCAGCAAAGGATAGACACCTTTTGATCATGACAAATCTGCCATAAACACTAAGATGCTAAATACTGAACATATTTCTAGACCTACCCTGACTGGTGGTGTAGAGGTCCGCCGATGGAGAAGAATGAGAAGAGGGGGAGGACTGAGAAGAAGCAGGGGAGGAGGGCAAAGAGGAGGTGTGACTGACCAGGGAGAGGGGAGAAATGCAGGGAGAGAAGGAGCCCAACACCAAGACAAAACACAGGGCCATCATCTGCGGAGAGAGGGGAACATAACATAACACTCGTGTTAATAATAATCACCAGAGCGCTCAGACTGTGATGCTCGTGATGTATTGGGCTCATGCAGACACTTCAAACTTATTGAATTCTGAATTTCAGTGCATATTCCAAATTAAGAAAAGAAAAAAGAACCAAAAAACATTTTTTTAAACTTCTTAGACGGCAAAAGGAAAAATGGATCCATTCAACAGAGACTGATGGAAAAGAGGAGATGCATGTGATATACTCGCTCCATCATCAATATGAGTTTGCTTGATATGAGTAATATGACCACTACAGTTGTGCTTAGCATACATATAGTGATAGGAGCCAATCATTATCATTGACCGCTTTAAGATGATTTAGCCAAACGAGAATGCATCTTCTAAACTTCAAATGGGAGGCAGGTAGGCTAACATCATAGAGACATATTAATTGTAATATTTATACAATTATAATAAATCCAAATGCTGTCCAAAAGCAAATAAAATCACCTCAATTACAACAAAAATATTAACATAAATTTGTGTGAACAGCAACAGCGGCAGTAGTATTTACCATGAGGCATGTTCCTGTCTGAGTTGAGGCCATTTTACACGAACGGGGGACGACCTTCCCTGAAATCAGCGACTGAAGCTTCTGGAGCTGCTGTAGGAGAGACCTGGAGACAGGAACAGAGGCAGGGATTAAAGAACAAGAAGGGCAGTAGTCATTATTTAGTGGTACAGAGAAGACTTTGACTCTCACAGGTTGTGGCCTCAGAGCGTTTGGGAATTTCAATCTCTAGAATATGTATATGGCTGCACCCACAACGTGCATGCATGGCTTCGATCTCCACCCAACCCACAACAAAGGTCTCACACACACAAACTCAGACGTACAGTTTGTTTCAGCCGAAAGATGCACGGCTCTCATTATCGGGTTTATTCTACATCAAAGAGAACTCTAACCACCTGATTTACTTTTGTTTTCCGTGTCCAACAAAACAAGCAGAGAGCAAAGCTAAGCTGAATAGAGTGCATGAATAAAACCACTAGAAAACAGCACATTAGTGGGATCTGGGGAGCAGGGCTCTGATGGTATGAGCTGTCTGTGGCTGTGAGGACACACTCTGACCACTAAGTGGAGACAGAGATCAAGTTTCTGACACACAAACACACACAATGCAAACCAGAAAGTCAGTTAAACGTTTAAAAAGTCAGACGCTTAGTCATCTGTTGCTGCTTTTATAGTTTCAAATTTCCATGCTGAAATCGGTGACAGGCCCCAGAATAGAGCAGGGAAACGCGACCTGTCAGCTGTAGTAAACTCGTGTAGGAATGATGCTGACCTGCATCACTCGCACGAGTCTTTGATGTAAAACCACAGCTTAAGTTATTGCAGCTTAAAATACACGGCAGTGAGCGAGTAAACGTGTGTGAAAAAAGCAACAAGGACAATGGAAACGATTGTCAGGTAATTAAAATTCAGTGCTGGAAGCTAAGCTAAACGAAACATATCCTAAACGTTTGTCTGATGTGGATATGCAGACGCTAATCCAAATCCAACCCCGAGTGTGAGTTACACAACTAACAAACCGGTAGTCCTAACCAAGTCCTGCGTGGATCCGACTAGACGGAAAGAAAACAGCACAGGGGAACAAAATGACCACTAATAACTGCATCTGGGACACTTTTAGGAACTGGGAGCTTAAATTTAGTGCGTTTGTTTAAAGCCTTTTTTTAAACTCACATTTACTCTTATGAGAGTGAACGGGGCTGCGTGCTGACTCACGTTTCCCAGTTTGCGCCAATTCATTGTTCCTCCCTGCAGTGGTTTAACATATTCATCGGTGTGCATATGTGTGTGTGTGTGGCTGGAAGGGAGGGGGCTGCCTTCCATGATGAAAGCTGCTGTTAACTCGCCACTTTAATGACAGGCTGAGTGTGCCACAGTCAGACAGACAGACAGACTCTCCTACCCCCTCCTCCTCAGCCATCCAACCCTCCACACCCACCCACCCTTCTAACCACCCACTCCAGGATAATAGCAGATTGGTTTCATATTGTTATAATAACAGAGGAGACAGCGGCACCTCGGTGAGTCTACGCTTTGCTTATAGAGCACAGATAAATTTCACTTCAGACCCCTTTAATTCTCTCACGCTGCATAGATATTAAAATCCCGTAAAGGTTTTACCCACAGAGCGCGTGTGAGTGTGTGTGTGTGTGTGTGTGCATACGCTTGTGTATAAGCTACAGTCCTGTTTGTAGTTTTGCATCTTCATTCTCTCTGGGTGAAAAACGAGAACCATCTTCGTAAGGCCTTCTGCAGCTCGTCCGGCTCTCAGTTTACCAGGCTGCATTCTTTGCACACTTGCTGCTCTCAGTGATCGCAATCCAAACATCATTACATGAATGGTGGGTTTGTATTACTGGTGTGTGGAGCCAGCATAAAACAGCGTCAGTCTGTTCAAAGCTGGAAGATAAAGTAAAGTATGCTGGCACACGTGTGCGTGCATGTGAGTGAAAACCTCACCTGTTGGCTGTCTCCAGGTGTTCTACTTTTCTCCACAGGTCGCTGTTTTCTGACGTGTAATTCTCCACCCTGATACACACACAGTCAGAGATACACACATTGTTTTTATTGTCTTATCCCTGCATATGTTGCTCTAATGAAAAACAGCGTTATCCCCAAAGGCTGGAGTATCATGAATGGTACATTTTGACCACTAATCCACAACATTTTGACCGGTAATTATCTGTTATTGTTGAGGAGGCACAAAAACTAAAATCTTCTGCCAAGTGAAAAACTTATTTTTCTTCTCTAGACTGCTCCCTTTCAGGTCAGCTGCTTCCATTGAACCCTATCCCGACACACCAACCCCCCTGCATGTCCTTCTACACTACATCCATGGATCCTAAAAGGTTAATTGTGTTCACCTGGACATAGTGTGTTCACTGGGAGAAATGTTTTGTCACTCATCCAAGTGACGTTTTTCAGTCTTAGCTGACTGAAGGTTTCTGCAACCTTATAAACAGTACATGCACAATGAGTGAAACTAGCTCCACTGGAGGACAATGGAAGATGCAACCATGACTCTTCTATGCGGGTTTCCTCTTTTCCTCCTGCCTGGCATCTCTATCTTCAATATACTTTGAGCAATATAGCCATTATCCTGCCTCTGTTTATCCAGACCATCTCAGCTTGGCCTCTGTAGGTGGTTGAAGGTTGTAGTAGGAAGAGTGACTGTGGATCATCAAGTGACAAACTTCATAGCTGACAAATGAAGGCAATGCACAAGTGCCAAAAGCTGCAGTTCCCCTACTAGCCATGGCTGTTGAGCTCCTGAGCTTCCCTTCATTGCTCATTTTAGTGACTGAACTCTTGGTAATCTGATAAATTTGGCTCTCCATCCTTGGATCCAAATATGCCCCAATTAAAGCAATGGGCAGTCATCTTTTAGGTACAGTCTGTAGCTACGACATGATTTAACCTAGCCTAATCAGCTAACCTGACTTAAAAGGAGGTGAACAGCCGATTGCTGATTCATACCAGCTCTTCTAAGTTACTGCGCTAACAGCTGGATCTTTGAAAAAACTACATGATGCAAAACATGAAGGTCCTAATTCAGAACTATGAGGTCAATAAGTTTATCGTAACTGACAAAGCCTCTCAAATTCATTTAACCAGCTCATCATTTCACAAGAAAAGAATCCTTTGCTCTGCTCAGATATACTTTAACCACTCCGTGGGTCCCAGTAATGTCAACACCATTTTTTTTTTACTTTGCACAGTGTCAAACTAGCATCTTTGAGAACACAAATCTGTTACAAAGTTTAAGAAAAATGCCTCACTTGCAAGAGTTTCTCCCTACCCCGTTTTCCTCCTCTGTCTGTCTTCTACTAATCCTACTGATCTCCATTATCAGGGTAACGTCTCGCTAATCTGTCGCTTCCTTTAATCCTCCCGATGTCCCGCTGTGTGTTGCTTGGAATATAACTCATTCATGCACACTCCTTTGAGGAAAGCATCCCGCTGTTTTCTTTTTTAAAGGTTCGTCCAATAATCCCCTCCTCATGTCCGAAAAAAAAAAAAATAGAAGGAGATGGATTTCTGTTTTTATGCACGTCCTCTTATGTCTCTGCTGCTTTGGTTGCTTTGATTCAGTTAAAAGAGGCTGCACTCTGACACACCTCTCTCCCCTCGCTCTAATGGGATTAATGGGGCATTTTGTATACAAATCTTTGTTGGCACTTGTATTTGTCGCAGTGGAAGCTGTGTAAAAGAAAACCCATATTTTCAAATCTATTTCACTGCCACTGTCAGGAAAGTCAGTGAATCTGGCCCATGTGTTAAGCAGGTTATTGGAGTCCTGCCATAGCAAGGAATGGCTGGAATAATGGAAAGTAGAGAGGAGAGAAAAGCAGTCTCTGTTAACTTTTGCTGTTCTTCAGTGAATCACAGTGGAGGAGACGAGTGCTGAAGAAATGCTTTGTGCGTTTTGCTTTTTTTAAATTCTCTATCAGACACAAAGATATATATAGATATATATATAGAGAGATAGAGATCTATCTATCTATCTATCTATCTATCTATCTATCTATCTATCTATCTATCTATCTATATATCTCTGACCTCACAAGGACCTGCATTTGCCTCCCATTCACTGGCAGAGCTCTTGCGTCTGTTACTGCGCTCAGCTCCAAAGCAGTTAGGGAAACCTCTGAATGCGAAAAAAAAAGAAATCTGGCTCTTGACTAAACTGCAACTACCAAGCTCACTTCAGTGTTTTCTCTTTGGGCCCCTGAATTTTTCTGGGGTTTTTTTCTTTGCCAGTCATGCATGCAATGACCAAAGACAAGATTTTGCGTAAAGAGACATGTGGTGAGAGTCATCTTGGGAATAAAACCCTACAAAGCTCTTTAACACTCTCAAATACATTGTAAGGTGAAAGACGTGGAAGATTCTGGTTAGATGTTGCTCTAACTAACCGTTCAAAGGGAGCCTATTGTGCTTGTGCTAATTTTCTGTAATTTACACGATTCTAACATTTCAAATAATAAAACTTTTGGTTTCACATGGCTTTTTTTTATCTCGGCTCTCTGCGATGTCATAGAGAGGGGATCACATACAGCTCTAGCCATGGCCACAGAAGCCTGGTGCATCTGGCATTAAAACCTTCTGTTTACAAGGGGAAGCCAATGATTAGAAAGAGAAGGGGAAAGAGAAGTAAAAGGTCTTGTTTTACTCAAAGAGTGAATGGAGGTGCTGCACCAAGGGCTGGCTTAACATTACTAAGGATTATTCTTCCCCCAAAGGGAGGTAGAAGGTAATCGTATCCATTTGTTTGTCTGCCTGTCTGTTTGTTAGGAGTCTAGCGTGCACAGTTTTCACGTTATCATTTTCAAATTTTGTGTGATGGTGGATACCAAAAACAGCTTGAGCTGATTTAATTGTGGTAAAAATCGGGTCAAGGTCACACCATGTGAATCTCATTAAAAACTTTGTATTAGCCACAGCTTCTTATGGATCGTCTTCAAACTTCACAACAATAAACGAGGCCTTGGGGAATATGAGTACCTACTGTAGGTTAGCTAAGTGTTTGACCTTCATTGTTAGGGCTCAAGGTCAAATAAGAATACATTATATTAAAGAGGATGGAGAGAGCAGTTCAATACGACGCCCTGTGATTTCACAGTGACGCCTTAACAGGCTGACGTCATTTTGTAATAAAAACTTCGTAAAAATAAAAGTTTTAGTAAAGCCCTTGCCCTTCGAAGGAAGCTGCACTCTCCGAGTGCTCTTGTTTTGAACTGTGAATCATGCTAAGCCAGTCTAGGAGAGTCATGCACAGCTGCTGGGCTGGCATGACAACAGCAGTCAGCAGTTGAGTCGAGTCAGCAGTTTAAGGTGTGAAAGTCTTCTAAACAATGACAACAATGCTCTTAATATAATTTTAAGGAAACTACAATTCTTATTATTTTTTTAAAGGCTTTGGAAAGCACAGACGACAGTTACGAATGTAAACCAAAAGAAATGTGCATGGAGCGGAAAGATAACATTTTTTCCAGCCTTACTTTTTCTCCAGACATTCCACATACTCTTTCTTCTTCCTCCGACTCTCCTGAGCTGAGATCTGGAGAAACGGGCACAAAACCAATCATTGCTCCACCACAAAACCACATTTCTAATTGGAGCAAAATTTTTGGTAAACGTGTTACTATTTCTGTTTGAAATAGTAACACAAGGCAGTCCAAGATTCTGGGAATAGCTCACGTTTTTGTTTTTTTGGTTAATTAAATGTTCAGTTCAGCCGTGCACACTAACAGAAGACAAAAAGGTGCAGTGCCTGCTTACCTTATTTTTGATCTTTCGTCTGACTCTCTTCAGTGCCTTCTCTTCACTCTTCGTGAGAGGAAGTTTGTTAGGTACCGGGTAACCCTCCGCAACCAGGGTCCTCTTCTCTTCTTCTGTCAGCATGAGGGGTCCCGAACCCTGCAGTTTCTGCACAGTGAAACAAGCACTTCATCAGCGCATAATGCTAATAAGCTCTCATAATTCAGTCTCTTATTTATGTCGGTCTGCTTTTAATTTGCATGTTGACAGCGAGCACACCAAAATCTCACATCTCTCTTACATTGCATTACACCCTGGTACGAGAACAACACTGTCGGAGTTTGTGCGATGGTTTAGCTGTTCACGTGTTTCATTAATAAAAATGAAAAAAGAAAAAAGAAAAATGTTGCTGACACTGAACAATTGTGAGTAAACAAGATTGGGTCACGATGGCCTCAGTGCAAATGTGATTCATTTATTCTAAGAAAAGCTGCTGAATCAGACAAACAACGTCCAGACGGACGGATTTTCTGACTTTCTGTTCTTTCAGCAAATTATGGGATGTATTTAACCCCAAATTAAGCTGATTTACAGATCAAAAATCCCAACTCTACAGTGTCTGCTTCCACAACAGAAGGGCAGCCTATGAAACTCACAGCGCTATATAAGGACACAGTCATTTGAACATTTCTTATAGCAAACACCAAACCACTGACACATTAAATCCCCCACATGCGCTGCAGAACGGGCACGGAGAGGGAAAAAAACAACAGAGGGCACAGAGGGTAGGGGCTCTTTAACTCACATGCGGCGCGGTGAGGAGGGGCGAAGAGGAGATGGCCGAAGAAGATGAGGATGAGGACGAGGCGCGACCTCCTGGCCTCTGTTGTGGTTGAGGGGAAGACGGCGGCAGAGGGAGGTGTGGGGAGGAGGGGGGCAGCGAGCCATCACTGTCGCCGTGGTTACTGCTGGGAGGGGTGGGCGGCAGCTGGAGAGCATCATCTAAAAAGGAGCGCAGCACGTGAAACGAATCAGTGCTTCTACTTTAAACAAATGACCACTGAAGATATTCATAGCTAATGTAAGTCCATTCTCCCAGACCCCAAATATTATACTGCTGTGATTATTGTGGCATATGCAGAGACAGCTCGGCGAGTATTTTTGCCCTGATTATGGTCTGCAAGGTAGTAGTGCCTCTAACGCTGGGGTGGGGTGGTTAAGCCCTCATCATATTTAAAGTGAAGGCTTTTGTTCCAACAGATGTTTGAGGTAATTTATTTTGTAATACTTTAGGTGAAAATGTGCACTAACTAACTCATTCAGCTGCTCACTTCCTTCACAAGGGGTCACCACAATGGGTGGATCCACATATTTGATTTGGCACAGATTTTTTAGACCAGATGACCTTCCTGACTCAGCCCTCCCAGGGATTTGTGTCTCCTTCTGGTTTCAAACCAGGGATGTTAGGTAAATGTCTTAACCACTACACTAGGAAGCCACTTCTAACATTAAAATAATCTGAGTCAGACAAACCACTATAGCACTGTGAGTGTGTCTGTTACCGCTGGGCAGGCTGAGGTACTGTCCAATCTCTCTGGGTTCATCTTTTATAGCAATGAGCTTCATATCCTCTTGACTGCACTCCTGTAGAAACAACAAACATACCTGACATCAAAAACACCACTCATTTTATTTTTTTAAATGTTTCATAACTCAGGCAAAGGACAGATGGATGCTAACCGTGTGTTTCCATGGTGAGCCTCTGTGTGGAGGGGCGGGGCTTAATATGAGAGGCGGGGCTTCCAAAGGCTGAGGATCTAACCTTTGGCCAACATCAGGCTCCTCCTGCTTCACCAAGATAGCTGACAGGTCCTGGCTGAAGCTCCACTCAAACTCTACAGAAAAGACACCACAGACACAGGCAGGGTCACAAAGGGCTGGAGTCTATCCCATTTATCACATGGTGAGAGGTAGAATACACCCGGGACAGACTGCCAATCTGTCGCAGGCGAACACATAGTGACAGGCAACCATTAACACCTACGGCCAATACTGAATCACCAACTAACCTAAACCCAAGGCATCTCTTTGGACTGTGGGAGGAAGCCAGAGTACCTGGAGAGAATATTTCACACAGAAAGGCCGTCTTCCTGTGAAAGAACGATGCTAACCACCACACGATCATGCTCCCCTAAAGTCATCCTCAGCTTTCTTATACTGAAGTATTTAATCTGAACCAAATGGTTTGATGTGTGAGAACAACAAAAACACAAAGAAAAAGCTAAAGCAGAGCAAAAAACTGCAGAAATACCTGCAGATGTTTTCCATGTGTCACAAGGGGAAGGGGGGGAACGGGCAATCACATTGTTTTGATGTCATAGCAGTGCAACATGGGAACACCGTCCCATCTACACAAACCCTGGCAAACCCTAACCCTAACCCCCATGACTCCAATACAACCATATACATACAACCACGATTGTACCCCGACTATATGGCCCTGACTTTTGCATTCACAATTAAAGGCCACAGTGTTATTGTGTATTGGACCAGACAATCCCAACTTAAGGTTCAACCGCTAACTCCTTCTTTCAACTATCAAATGAAATACCAGTGGCAATAATGAAAAACCACCAGCAACAACAAAAAGTCTCAAGAATTCAAGAAAAGTGTTCCTATTCGTTAGAAAAGAAGGTTCCAGTTAACTGAGAAACTTGAGCAAAGTTGACCTTATTTCTCTTCAGGGAGGCTTTGCTGTAGGTCCTCCAACGGGAAGTAATTGACAGCTTCCAAATCACACTTTGAAGGAGCTCAAAATATCTGAGCTCTTCCTGACAAGGCTGGACAATGTCGTTCTGGCAACTGCGGTGCATAATTTCCCTCCAGCTGGTGTATATACCCTGAAATAAAAGATGGGCTGAACCAGCAACTCGCCCTCATTATGCTTCTTGGGAAGAGAAACAGTCGCCGCCTTTAAACACTGAAAATATGCATAATCGAGTGACCCGGCAATGAGGCGAGAGTGCAATTTCAAAGGAGGGTTCACCTAAACATGATGTGGGTATATTTCTAGAGGAGCACAGGTAAATCGTTGTTTAGTCTGCTTTGAAATCCAGAAAGTATTTTTAGGAAGTTTTAGTGTGTCTGCAGAGATGCCAGTGCATCCAACCTCCTGAAACGACCTGAGGCAAGACAAAGCTGACAAGGCCTGACTAACATCGTGCTGCTTGTTAGTGACTGATGACAGCTAATGAGGAACTTCTTTCTTTCCACTCTGACAAGCCTCATATCTTTGCTGGACTGTTTCTTTTGTCTAAAACTTCTTAAACAGTGGCATGAAAGCAGCATTCAAACCTCTGAGACTGTTTTAACTAAACATTGAAGATTTTGAGTGATCTTAAGAAAAGGGGATTGACAAGACTGTCTTCAGACGACAAGAAAAAATTCACTGGAAGCTTTGTTAGATACTGCCATGACTCATGAGGGGTGCTGAGTCAGAAGGATCCTGGGAAGAGAAGAACGACGAGTGGAAAGGATAAATAGATAAACAGCTGTAACCTCATCGACCTGTTCCTCACGTTTGCACCCCCGGGACCAGATTTCACATTCTTACCAGTACCTGAAGCAAGACGATCTAAAATAGACGTTGACTTTTATTTTTAAAGCCTTTTCTAAGCACAAGTTCTGCTAACTCCCACACAGCACAGTAGCCCTCTGGAGATATTTTGTCCCTGAAAGAGGGTCGGAGGAAAATCCACAAGAAAGTGTCGTGTCTCCTGAAGCCTGTCTCACAAAACAAAATGACCAAGTTAGCTGGATAACTGCACAGAACAAAACCTCAAACAGCTGTTTTGTTTGGTTACAGATTTGGTTGGTTACAGATTTTCCAAGCTGCTCTATCCAACTAACAAGATTCCTGTTTGCGAGTCAGAATCCAGATGCTGCAATCAACAGCGTCATCTAATCCATAGATACATTACTCGGTGGTCTATTTCTTGCAACTCAACTCTGACCTTTCCAAATAGGTGGCTTTAAAGTAGCGTTCCACCAATTTTGCACATGGAGTTCAGTTTACTCTGCATTAGAGGCAATTGTGCCAGATTCATCTCAGAAGTGTGTGTGTGTGTGTGTGTGTGTGTGTGTGTGTGTGTGTGGGGTGGGGCAAACGTTTAAATGGAAAACATTGAGGTGGTACTTAAATATAACGGAAAACCAAACAAAACCCGAGTCAAGCCAAGTTGAGGCACTGGTTAAAAGAAACTGTCCTTGAAAGTGGTGTGCAATAATTTATAAGTCATGTGACACTGTGGTTGATGAAAGAGAAATCCAATCGTCAATTGAATGTTTAGATTGAAAAAAAAAATGGAGCCACCCAATCAATCCACTGTCTTCTGTTTCTCTCATTCACAATTGTATGGCAAGTTGGCAGCTAACACAGGGTGAGAGGCGAGGTACACGCCCGACAGATGGCCGATCTGATGCTAACACAGAGAGACAAACAACCATTCGCACTCACATTAACACCTATGGGCAATTTAGAATCACCAGTTAACCTAACCCCACTAAGTGCATGTCTTTGAACTGTGGGAGGAAGCCGAGTACCTGGAGAGAACCCACACAGTCACTGGAAGAATGCCAACTACACATGCCAAATGCCACACCTCAGCTTATGAAGGAAAGAAATAAAGAAAGAAAGATAAGTTTTGTCACCTTTTATTTCATCTAATGTCTCAGAATGGATGCATTGGTGACAGCAACCTCCTGGCCTCCCTAGTTCTCAGGAGGCTGATCAGTGCTTAGGAAGTATTTCTTAGCCTTAGAAGACAGGTCCTAGTTGTGGCTTCTTCCTTTATCTTCACCTCTGCACCTGCCCGCACCATCTTGTGCCTCTTTAACTTTGTCTCCAAACTGCTCAAACCTGAACTGTCCCTCTAATGTACCTATTTCTGAATCTACTCCTAAGAGTGAGTGAAGGTCTAAAAGTTAAAGTCTAAAAGGCTCCGCGAGCTTTCAAATGGAAATTTTCAATACAACTGTCCTGTTTATTTGAACAGCGCTTATAACCCTGGGACATACGAGTATGTCTAACCAGAATTAAAGGGTCAGCTGCACATGCTTTGAATTAAGGCCCTTTAAAGGGGAGCTGCTCCACGGGGCATAATTAGGCAAAAGTCACGCATTAAAAGTTTTCTTCCTACAACGTTAAAAGCGAAACCACGACACAACTTTTAAAGAGTTAACTGCGGGCAGACAGGGAGGAGTGAGGATGTTTCATTATGTCAGCACTGACACACGAACGCCACGCCAGTGACTTTGATGTTTGTCGCATCAAACACGCATCCTAAAGGCTCCCCTGGTGCATTGAAAGAGGGCTTTTGCTTTTTCGTGCGTGCGTCTGTGTGTGTGAACGTCACGTTAATCACATCCTGGTTTCCTAGCAACATTGTGCTGGTAAAAAACGGACTGAAGTTTACAAGCCGTGAGTGTGTGCGTGATTGGTGAGAGCAAAGAGGGGGGACGGAGGTGTATTCCCAATCAGACAGCTGCTTGCGTGCTTTTGTGTCTGTATCCTGTCCATCACTACAGCAGAGAGAGAATAAATCACATGGCTGCTGACTTTGGGCGTGTGGGTAACGCCCAAAGTCAGCAGCCATGTGAGGAATAAACACCTCAGGGCAGTGAAAAACAATGATAAGAAGCATTATGAGCTACAATATATCTAAATCTACTTGCTGCTGATTATTTGAACCCAATAGTTCAATCACAGTGGGCACAAACATGGATAGCCATTTGCTTCTGAAATCACAAGGATCTCTCAACCCTATAAAATCTGCCTTTTAGCCCATACTTGACTGAATGTTCAAAGCGATGCAGGCAATAGATGGACGAATTATTGCCATTAATGGACTGTGCATTATCTGAGTTTGTACATCAGTAGGTAGTACATGAGCGTAGAAAATTGGGCTTAATAAGTCCAACCGCAGCACTTCCCCCTTGAGCTGGAAGAGCTTAAGTCCAAGGCTGCAGCTAACAATCGCTGCGCTTTTATTCCTAATTTATTCAATTATTCTACACAAAAAAGGTCCTTAGGTCTGCGAATTGATGAAAAACATCCCTGTTATTACTTCCTGAAGGCTGAGGTGACATCTCAAAATATCTTGTTTTGTCCCATCAACAGGCCCCCAACTCCTCAAAAGTCAGAAAAAAACAGTTAAAAGCAGGAAATCCTAACATTTTTTGGTTTTTATCTGACTGCAGTGAAGCAAAAAGCAAATGCCTAATCAGTTAATCGCATTTTTCCACGCCACGGCATCACTGTAATAGACGTCTCTTTAGCAAGCGTAACTGCCATAGAAGTGATGATAATGATAATGTAGCTGGATAAAAACCTCCACTGGCAGTGCGAGGACCCCACCCCAAACAGCTCATTAGTCCCACTTCAGTATTTTTTTCCATGCTGCCCCGACTCCTGCATGATCTCACACTCATTACGGCTCAGCTACCTGTGAAAAATATCATTCGCCGCTAATGTTGCTGATTAGCAACGTGAGCCTGAAATGTTTTAGGAAATCAACGAGCGCACAAAAGGCATCAGGAGGAAGACAGGAATCCAGTTTTGGGGGTGGATCCGACATTTACCTATGCCACACATCCTGCCTATCAGAAAGAGGCCTCTCCTTAATGAGGCCAGTCCTGCTGCTCGCCTGAGTCTCGTTAAGCCTCCTGCCCTCGTTAAGTCCTCTAACACTGTTTTTTTTAATGAATACCAGAAGCTCTTAGCTGTTAGCCAATGCATAAGAAAATGGTCCTGAACACGGAGAGGCCACTGTGATATTTCCACTGACATCACAGTGACACACTTGTCTAAATGTAAATGTAAGGTTTAGGACAAGTAAAACCAATTGTTTCACTCTCCACATTTTGGAATTTCGTTGAATGTTGTTAATTAAAAAAAAAGAAAGAAAGCTTTAAAGGTCTTCCTGTGTGGGTAAATTGCTGTAAGCTCAGGTAAGAAATCCGGCGTTAATGACCAAATGGCTCCTGGCAGTCACCACGGGGGGTTAATGGAGGCGAGGTGGTTGCTGTGTTTGATCTCAGCGGGGCAGCAGTAGCATTAAAACATTCAATGGATCAGCGCAAAAAGGAGCTGCAGTAAAACACGCAGCTTCTCTTTAACCGAATAAGAGGCACAACAACAACAACAAAGACCACACGCTGAGAGGAAGAAAGAAAGTTTAAAATGACCACAGACAATCTGTACGCTGTTGTGTTCTGCTGGAAGCAGTGTGAGTCCTGCAGTAACAACAAAGCAAGGCAGCCAAGTGACCCTTGAAGACCTCCAGAAACCACCAAACCACATTTGATCACTACTGATTTTAAGCAGCAGAGCCTTCAACTTTCAGGCCCCTCTTCTATGGAACCAGCTCCCAGTTTAGATTCAGGAGACAGACACCGTCTCTACTTTTAAGATTAGGCTTAAAACTTTCCTTTTTGACAAAGCTTGTAGTTAGGGCTGGATCAGGTGACCCTGAATCCTCCCTTATTGATGTTCCAATAGCCCTAAGCTGCTGGAGACTTCCCATGATGCATTGAGTGGTTCTTCTTCACTCACCTCTTTTAACTCTCTCTGTGTTTATAAGTTAATCATTAGTTATTATTAATCTCTGCCTCTCTGTCCACCACAGCCATTCAGATAAACAATTAAATGACAGAAAAAATGATATTTTTTCACCGTGGGCTACATAAATTTTGAATTTTTACACTGTGTTCACAGTGCAATAAATAAATAAATAAAACAGGACATTTTTGTGAATTAACAGTCTGGGCAGTCAGCTGCCAAAACTTTGGCTGTAATTTTACACATTTATTTCTTACAGTTTAAGCCCAAACAGTCGTGCTGACAGATTTCTTTTGTTTACTACAGCAGCATTTCTTTATCACAAAAACTAAAAATGTGCTGGTGAAATCGCACTTCTGTTTCTTACATTGAGATAACTGGGAGATTAAATTGAAGTTAAACTTCTTTACACTGATAGAGAGGGCAGTTTCCCCAGTGTGCCTCACCTAAAATCAAAGTGGGCCGTGATGTAAAATGAGTTTGAGGTGACTGCTGTTGCAATTTGGTGCTATATAAATAAAATAGGATTGAACTGACATGATTTGTTGGGAACCGCCCAAATAGGAGGACATCATAATCTTTTATTGTTACAGTGATACGTTGCTGTTGTAGACTGAGGCTAAGTAAGCACTAACTGATTTCTTGATTTCCATATAAACCGTAATGACCTTCCATCTATTGTGTGCTGTGTTCACTGTATGTGATGGGTACTTTAAGACAAAAGTGGCCTGGATGCAGTTCATCAGGCTAATATCTGATCTCACTTTTATCAACCACTGTGCAATTCAAGCAATGCAACATGGGTGATACTTGCTGGGGCAATAGGGGCAACTTTTTCTGGGTGTTTATCAGGACGCTTCTCGTATAAACAGCCCAGCAGTGGGTGTCAAATAAGTCTGATCTTGTCTGTGAGTGCTACATGATCCTTGCATCCACTGTTTTACCCATCATTGTAATTCTAATTGGACAGGACCTTCTTGTCCAACAAAGCACACTAAGATCCACAAATCCCTTCATTCAGAACTGACGTGCTTTCTGAAAGGTCAAGAACGTCTAACACCTCTTGGTGCCTAATTAACCTGACTCATCGTGACAAACAAGCAGCTGCTCTACTGCCGTGCTCTCGTTTGAAGCTGGAAAGGCCTGCAAGGATGTGCGCATCTTTGGCAAGGCTGCAAGGATTAGAGTTTGATTCTGGGAACTGAGATACTAGGATTTATGACCAAGACTTGCCGTCTCAGAAACATTTTAGCATGCACGCTAAATGGCCTGGAATCTCACAAGACATGTGCTGTGACCACATGTGCATTTTTTTTATTATTATTATTATCAAAGTCCCCTTCTCCAAACTGCATAAGCAATACCACACAGCAATGGAACTGTGCGCAGAAGTCCAACCCTGAAAAGTCATTCATGCAGCGATACCGCAGAACTTCTCAGATGCAGCAGTCTTGTCAAAACACTGCTACATGCCAATATGACAGCTAATAGTCCAGGAGTGCCACAACTTATCTGTCATTGTGAAAAAGTGTCAAATCTAGAAGTGAAAATTAAGCATTCAACAAGTGGCCTAATCTGACATGCAGCTCTTTATTCAACAGGCACAGCACTGTGCATAAAACAGAGCCTAATATAGTAGCTAATGCTAAAAAAAAACTTCTTAAAAGCTTCTTAAACCGCTGAGACAACATGTACAACCAGCTGCATGCAAGACAGTTTTCTTTCACCGCCGCTGCACACAGTAAAACCCCTTTTGGTCATCCTCTCCAGTATAACCACGTTAAGGTTAAAAGGAAATGCTGGAAAACAGGGACTAAATCCGTTTTATGATTATTTATAACACATTGCTGGGTTTGCCATTTGCTTGCCAGAGACGCTTTGGAGAACTTTTTAAGATTCATGCAAAAGCAGAGAAGAAGACAAGATGTTGTCGTCCTAAAAGAAAAGCAAAGCAACATTAACATAGTCTTGCAGCGTCTTATTTTTGTGCCAGTGTACGAGCGGAAAAGGCATGTTAGGGCACAGTTGGTTAAGCGATATTGTATCATTTCCCCTTAAAACTTTCGAACGCTGCCTCTAGAGTGAAATATTAAGGCAACATGCAGCAGATGCGGGTTGTAAAATGCATGCATGCACATGTCCAATAACAAATGCATACAACGTGGGTTTGTCAATGTGTGTGTGTGCGCACCATATGTGAACTGATAGTGCTCCAACTGCACAGTGAAGAAATAAAGAAAAGAATATCCACAAAGTACCATGAAATCACAACTAAGCAATTTTTTTAATTGTGCAATATCAAATATTTAATGCTGTATTTCTTTTCCATTTTCCTGTTTGGGTTTGAATCACTGTGCAGATATTCATATTTTGTTTGAAGTTTGGACCGACCGGAGTGACTGTCACTGTAAACTGATTTATTCAGCCTGATATGACTTCATCCTTTGTCCCCCTCTCTTTCTCTCTCTCGGGAGCAAAGTATTATCTGTCCATCAAGGATTGTGCTTTTTTTTTCAAGAAATTGTGGCATTTTGGCAGTGCAGATAATTTGATATTTATATGAATGAAGTGGATTTTATTGGATTACAGGAGACAGAGAAGCAAAAGAAGATAAACAGGCATCAGAGAGACAGAGAAAAGGAGAGAGAACGAGAGAGATAACCTGACAGAAGAGAGAGAGAGAGAGTTTCCGCTGGCTCCGGCTAAAGCTGCAGATTTAAAACCATACGCTTGTCATAGTGTTGTGTGCGTCTGTGTGTGTGTGTGCGTGTGTGTGTCTATGTGTGTGTGTGTCTGTGTGTGTTAGGTGGGCAGGGCTTAGCTGGAGGAAAGCTGCTCATACTGGGTTCATACAGCAGGATCCCCGGGACAAACGGAGAACAGACAGCACCCAGACAGACGGCGCGAGAGCGAGACAGGTAGAGACGCAGACAGGGAGGGTAGGGATAATGAGGAAGATGAGTCAGGAATAGACAGAGGAAGGTGAAGAAAGCAGGACTCGGAATATGCAACATTTCTCCTCAACTTGCACACAAAGTGCAAGTGGATCGTTAAGCCATTGATTATATATGACAGGATTGAGCCAATCGAAGTGCACGACAGTTGACAGGCAGCAGAGAGGGTCAGGCTGCCTGCTAAGTGTTATATCAGGCAGAAACCTGAGCCAACCAGATAACCAGGGGACAGCCAGCGTGATAAAGAGCCAGACTAAACATCAGCAGGAGAGCTTTGCTTGGCTCTGAGCGGTTTAAAAAGAAGCCAAGGCTAAGAAATAATGAAAAGATCAAACTTACCAGAGTCTTGGTCCATTTTGACTGACAGGGCTGGGCTCTGGGGGGCTGAGTCTTCACTCAAGGAGTAGCTGTGCTCTGCTTGAATATCTGTGAGATTAACAAGGCCGTCTCACAAGGATGGAAAATGTAGCAGTGCAAGCTCTGTGTGTGCATATTTGAGAGCTTTCTCATCTTCTGAGTCAATTGTTTTCAGTTCCAATTTTTAAAAATATTTCAGTCACACTCTCTGTCATGTAAATACAGAGTTATAACATGACAGCACGATTACAGAAGGAAGCCACAAAGCCAGTTCAGTGCCCGACACCTCATGAATGAGCGGTGTCACTGCAGTGCTCTTCCGGTCTCTTGGCTGCATCAGTGATAGCTATTAAGACATATTTTGTCATTAAGGCCTTAATCGATGATGATCATGAGAGCACGGGTTCCTCATGAATGCTGCCCCTCAATATTCATGATTTTCTTTAATTAGACAGAAAAATCTGCTGGGAACTTCATGATGTCCAAGATTTAAGACTCTCACAATTACTCCCAGTGCTGTGCATAAGTCTCGAGCTACCTATCATTTCTTTATAGTTTGCTTCCAAGGAGCGATAGTTCTCCAAGGTCTTTCAACAATTTCCCTTTGGCTCCCTTTTGACCTATTATCAGTCCAGTCATGACTATTGTCACAGGAATGTTTTGTTTATTAAGCCATGTAACAACTCAAAGGATGAACCAGTGTTGATCCTACAAATAAAAAAAAATGTAGCAAAGAACCCATTTTAAATCGTATCTTTAGGCACTTTGTTGCTCGGAGACTATCACAAAAACACATCATTTGTTCCCATTTCTTCATAGTTAAATCTATGAAGAATGTCAACAATAACACAGGATTAAAAAAGTATTGTTGCACCAACAAGCTGATTCCCAAAGAGGTATTAGCTGAAAATTTGCCATATCTCAACATGAAGTTGAGTGTATTTTTAAAATCTTGAGGAAATAATTGAGAACAAAAGAAGAAGAAGCAGACCTAAAAGAAATCACTTTGGATGAACAGTATCTGCAACTCATGTCCGTAGGAAACAGGAAAAATCCAGCAAAGACCTGACACAGGACCTGAGAGATGATACTGAACTTTTAGGTGATCAGCTATTGTTCAGCGAAGGCTCATTACAAATTGTCTCAGTGGAAGGATAACAAGGAAGTCATTCTTAAGAAAGAGAAATGAGGAGAAAAGGCTGACATATGCCAAATTACACAAGAACTGGACTGAAAATCAGTGGCAACAGGTCTGATGGAGTGATGAATTCAAATGTGGTTAGAATCATTGTCAGGATATGTGGAAGAGGTTATGAGAGAGGTACAACAGTGAGTGTCTACAGTCATCTGTAAAACACGGTGGAGGCCCTATCGTGGTTTGGGGCTGAATTTCAACCAGTGGTGCTGGAGTTCCTGCCGAAACTGATGCAATTATGACCACAGAAATGCACCATCAGATTGTGATTCACAATGCAATACCATCTGAAAAGCAACTAATCAGGAACAGCTTCATTGTTCAGTATGACAATGATGCAAAACACACTATCAATGCAGTAAAAGCATACAGTACCAGTCATGGATTGACCTCCCCAGAGCTCAGGCCTCAACATTACTGAAACTGTGTGGGAACATCTTGACAGAGGACAGAGGAAAAGGCAGCCAACGTTCAAAGAAGAGGTTTGAATGTCCTTCAACAAGCCTTGAGAACTATTCCTGAAGACTACTTAAAGAAATTAAAGGAAAGCTGACTAAAAGAGTTCAGAATAAAGGTGGTCATGCCAAATAGTGACTACCAAACTCATTAGAATGAACTTTTCCAGAGTACTAAAAGTACTATTTTCTGGATAAATGTATGCATTCATGATGCTATGTACATATCCACATGTAGTACATATACATATGTCCATACATAGTGAGAGTGCTGTTAAGACTTTAATGTAAAAGTGACTCAGGCGTTCTTGAGACATGATAATAACACAACATCCTGCTTTTTGTCCTTTCTTCTAATCATTCTAATGACTTTGTGACTATGGCAACGACTAACAGTGACACTCATTTGTCTCAAGTGATGAGCTGATGACAGCTTCCACAGGCTGTGAGCGCCTATATTGCAATAACTTTGAGCTGATAAACAAGATCCAGTAACAAGCGAGTTTAATCTGTTCCGTTCTGCAGGCAGGAGTTCTGGAAGTCAGACTTTGGCAACAAAAGCTGGCTCTCATATCATGAAATTTGAACTCTTGGGCACAGAAGGAGCCAGCGCTGATGTCAGAGAAGGCTTTTGATTCAACCCAAGTAATGAGACTGGGGACTTTTCTCCCCAAAGGTTGGCTAAAGCCGGGTATGCAATGATATGATTGCCACAGTTGAGCTAGTTCTGACCTTTAGACAGGTTTGAACGGTGAACTTCTTACAGTGGCTTTTCCCATAACCACAGATGTGACTGGTTCCAACTTTCTAACTTGTGCCCAGCAATTCTGGCCCTAGCGCCAGTCATTTGGTGAAAATGCATGAAACTGGTTCTAGAGTAGGCACCAGCATTGGTGCTTCATTGGTGAAAAAGAGGTAAATGTACAGTTCTGGGCTGCCCTCAATGAACAAAGACCAACAAAAAAAGAACTGCGGTGCTCTCTTGAGTCGCGGCTCCAGACATCTGTTATTACTGCGCCAAAGAAGAGTACACAGAATGGAAACACACAGCAAATGAATTGCAGCAACTGGCCTTAGCTTACAGTTCAATAGCTATTGTCATCATACCAGCATACGTAAGTCCAACCTGGTGCTGTACCCATGTGTATTCGATCCAAGGATCAATCAGTGCTCCTGGCATTACTGGTGATTACGGAAAACAAGTGAGAACTAAACAACTAAAAGGGATGATACGGAGCAAAAAAAGCCCAGCCATAAGGAGCTGTGTGTGGGTGGGTGTGACAGGTGGATTTGGATTATCTCTCATAATAAAACAAGAGGAGCTCACCTGGGCTGCTGTCCATGTCAATGTGTAAAAATGAAGGTCTTTCTGCCAGTAGGGGTCGCTCTAATACATGGTCGTCGAAGAAACTGTTAAATAATTCACTGCTGAAGTCGTCCATCTGGTCACCCGAGAAAGGCTGGAAAACATATACAGAAACAGACACAGACAAAGGAGTATTTAGCTGACGTTACTTTATAAAACCACTCTGGTACAATGAACCTCATGCAATTCAACGTTCAATGAAAAGCACAAGGATAAAGACAAGGGAAGATGGGCTCAAGGTATGGCGCTCAAATGCTTTTCTTTCTCCAACCAACAGTGCAAATCTGAAAACATCCAGCTTTCAGTGATATAAAAAAGACGAAAGTGGCAACCTTAGATAAGCTGGGACAAGAAAATAGCTGGAAAATTACTTCATTTTCTGCAAATCGACTCATCAAATAATGGACCTATAGTTTCAGTTCTACGACAGACTTATCTCTCAGTGTCAGAAACAAGACAACATAGGCTGTGTTGATGACACGAAGAGTCAGTCAATGGGAAACAGCATTGACAGATTAATCCTCTAGTCTGGATGAATGAGTCACTGAGCAGAGAGAGACGGTGTTCTGGAAGCAAGGGACAGCACGGTGCTCTGATTTCACTGGTTTATGCACACATAAATACGCACACACACACACACGATATGAGTCACCCTGGTCTTCAGAAAACATGGGAAAAGCTGAACCAAAGCCTATGCGCACATACACATGGGTTGGTTGGAAACCCATCAACACACTGCTTGGAGGCTCTTCAGACACAGTGACAGAAATAACTTGATTTAATTAGCAAGAAACACAAAAGTTGATTTACATGTTTTATTCCTGGAAATTAGCTTAAGCAAGGCTCCCAGAACTGCCAGAAGTGTCACAACAGATAAAATCAGTCCAGGAGCAACAATAAAGACATGATTGGGACAATAAATACAAGGCTTACCTCAATATTTCAAATACTAACAATGGATCATATGCACGGAGGGAAAGGCCTTGTAAGAACTGTAAGAAACCGACTGAGGGCTACCAACGGAGCTGACATAAACACTAAGTTTTAGAGCACATTTTAAATTTGATAGGTAAACATTACTTTCTAAGCATTCCTGTTATGATTAGATTCCCGTGTCTGTCTATTATGGGGGAATTTTTTTCCCCCTGTGAATTAATACTATCAGATAGAGCTCACATGAGCAATTTACTTTTAACAGATTTAACCTCTTCAAAAGTATATCTGACTTTTATTAATTGGCTTTATTCAAATGTTGCTGAATGTATCCATCAAAAACATTAAAAAAAAAAAACTCTGCAGAGCTCGCTTAATAACCATGACTGCATTTGAAAGTGGATGAAGTGTATTGAATGTCTGTGAAGGTTCTCAGTCATCCAGGTCATCGTAGTCAAAGGAGCTTGCAAAGAAAAGCGTCTGGACTTCTTTAAGTTGCTTGAAGACGTTTCACCTCTCATCCGAGAAGCTTCTTCAGTTCTGAGCAATGTGGATCCTCCATGCATATACAGCATGACTGTAACAGACTGTAGCTCATGTATGCTGTACAGTGCAGCGAGGAATGCCCAGACCTCTACATTGGAGAGACCAAACAGCCACTTCACAAGCGCATGGCACAACACAGAAGAGCCACCTCCACAGGACAAGACTCAGCAGTCCATCTGCATCTTAAGGATAAAGGACACTCTTTCGAGGATGCCAATGTTCACATTTTGGACAGAGAGGACAGATGGTTTGAAAGAGGAGTGAAAGAAGCATCTATGTCCACTGTGAGCGACCATCTTTGAACAGAGGCGGGGTTTACGACACCAACTCTCTGCCATCTATAATCCAGTTCTGAGATCCCTTCCCAGACGCCTTAACGCCCACTCACATCCTGGGCCATCTGACCTCAGGAATTCGCATGATAAGGTGGGGCCAGGTTTCACAATGAACTCACCCGAAACTCTGGCTGATTGGGACCCACACCCAGTTTCACACCTTGGCTCAGGCGATTAGAGGATCATCAGGGGGTCCTTTTGTCCCTCTGTGGGGGGATACTCCCACTAGGTTTATATCTGGGACTCTCCACCATTTGACCTTAGAACTGAAGAAGCTTCTCGGATGAGAGGTGAAACGTCTTCAAGCAACTTAAAGAAGTCCAGACGCTTTTCTTTGCAAGCTCCTTTGACTACTGTATGACCGGTATGTACTTGATGAGGACATCCTCCTTCAGGATTTTCTGGTAAAGCGCAGAATTCGTGGTTGCATCAATTACAGCAAGTCATCCGGAAGCAGCAAAGCAGCTGCAGACGATCACACTACCACCACCATGTTTAACTGTTGTTATGGTGTTCCTTTTATGAAATGCTGTGTTAGTTTTATGCAGACGTTACGGGACTCAAACCTTTCAAAAAGTCCAACTTTTGAATCATCAGAATAGTCCCTCAGACGATCAGGATTTTTTTCAAGATGAATCATGAACTTTGACCTTAACTGATGCAAGTGAGACCTGCAGTTCCTTAGATCTTGTTCTGGGTTCTTTTGTGACCTCCTGGATGAGTCGTCGATGCACTCTTGAAGTCATTTTTGTTAAGCAGTCATCTCCTGGGAAGGTTCACCACCGATCCAGGTATTCTCCATTTGTGGATAATGGCTGTCACTGTGGTTCACTGGAGTCCCAAAGCCATAGAAATTACTTTATAACCCTTTTCAGAATGATAGATGTCAATAACTTTGTTTCTTATCTGTTTCTTTAGATCAAGCCTATTTCACTTTATCAGACATGTTGTATTTAAATGATTTCGTGACTCAAGAGGACTGGCAGCAATCAGGACGGAGTGTGACTGGTGACATTAAACTCAAGTTTCTAAGAAAAATGTGGTTAATAACTGTTAATTCATGATTTAACAATGAGGGAAATTACTTTTTTCACAGGGGGACAGTTAGGTTTGCAAGTAGGGAGGAAGGTTCGGGATTTGGAGGTTCAGCAGACATGCAGCAGATGTACAGGTGCAAATGAAAATTTTAAAGATCTCTGCTACACTGAGGTGCTCCGGGTGGCCTTGACAGTAAGCCAGGAAATAGTCCTGCACACAACGGCAACTGTAATTATATGTATTTCTGTCCTATATCAACACATGCATCTTTTAAACCCACCTACGCATGTGTGAGTCATGGTCCGCTGGAGTAAAAAAAAAAAAAGATAAAAGGAAGTCCATGAACCAGATCAATTTTTGTACCTGAACCTCAAGGCTCACTGAACCTCCAGGCAAAAAAGAAGTGTGTACATACGCAAGAACCCGAATGATATATAGCTCACGCTATGATATGAAAAGTTTAGTTAGTTCCAAATCAGCGTGCAAACAACAGCGCAGTTTGTCCAGGACAGTGGCTCCATCAAATAAAAAGCTTTCTGTTCCATATTCACATTCTCAATGTCGCTCTCTTTTAATCTTGTGTTTTGAATTCATCCATACTTTCACTTCCTTTACTA